TAGCCAGTTTTAGTAAGGGTTTGGTTACATCTACCCGGTTTTATAGTTGGATTCCTGAAAACCCAAGACCCAACAGATTTTTACGTAGTTTTAAGAAGTACAATGTTCCTAGATGTAGGACTAACCGTTATTCAAATTCAACTCTTCCTTCTGCAATACGGCTATTGAATGACTGATTTTTTTAATATGATGAATACGATGACTTCTGTGAACTATTGAATTTTTAAAATCCTTATTGCCTTAATTAACTTATAATTTGTTGTATTTGTTATCTTTGTATTTTTTATATGTATTTTGTAAATATTTTTGAACAATTGTAATATTGTAATGATAATAATTGTATAATAGAAAGTATTATATGTTGGTAATTGTATAATATTTTCTCATAATTCCAATGCTGTATGTTTAAATATGCTTGTTTATATTGATTTAATTGTGTTGAATAATTTTAGTTTTTTATATAATGAATAATTCAATTTATTAATTCTAATTGCCAATGTATTATATTGTATTGTTATCGATGTTATTAATGTGCAATATTGTATTGTTATCGATTCTTTTTTGGTACTTTAGCTTTTACTGTATATTGTAAACTCATAAGAATTTCAACTTCTGTTGCATTTTGAGTGTATATACCAATAAATATTAATATTAAATATTAAATATTTTTATCGCGGTGTGCGATGTATTCGCAGTGACGAAAAAAAAATGAGGATTTTTTTTGCACACGAACCTAAAAAAAAATCAAGCCAAGCGTCCACTAATTGAAAAATTAGTGGACACTGGGGAATAGGCAAATAACATTGGGAGTTACAGTGATGACGTCACAATTGACTAATTATTAGAATTAGGGCTAGGCCTAGCTAGGGTAGGGTTGCTCCCTAGAGATGTGCAAAGGTGCATTTCCATTACTAATATTGTAGTGCTGCCTAGTTAGGCAGTAGCTATAGAGTGGTACTCTACATCACCCCTAGGGGCCTACCTAGCTAGCCTGGGGCAAGCAGCCCCTAAAATAGGCTAGGCCTGGTCGGTGGTAGTTAGGCCTAGGTCCTCCTACCTAGCCTAGGCCTAGGTCTAATTATTGCCTATCATATCCTAGGGCCTAAGTCTAGGGCCTAGGCCTATATAGCCTATAGGCCTAGGCCTAGCCATGTGAAGGAATAGAATAGATAGGTAGGCCTAGCCTAGTTTCATATTAGAAGTGCATATCTTACTATATTATTTGATGGCTACGGGTGAGTAAGACAACTTCAGGAATTTCTTTCGTGTTTCATGACTCGGACCATTCGCCAATTGCCTCAGTGGTGGTGTCAATCATTCAATCAAAACAACAAAAAGTGAAGTTCTTTCTATCTAGAAAGTTTATTTTACGCGCTTCTCAAAAGAGGGCGCAATGTGATCTTCATCAATGATCTCTCATTCTCTAATTCAATTGTAGATAGAGATCAGTGGTATGATAGGTGGTATGATCGCCTGGTTCTTTTTTTTTTTCTTAACAGAATTCATATACTTAAAAATATATATATATATATTTTCGAAAAGAATATTTTAAGTCTTATGTTTAAAAAACAAAGAGGAAAATTACCAGACTCATTCGATGATTTTTTTTTTCATACATATGAATCCCATCACAACGACAATACAAGGAATATAACATAAATTTGTTATTGATTTTTAAAAAAAATAAATGTTGTTGTACAAAAATGTGTTTCTTACAGGGTGTCAAAGGTGAGGAACCATTTATCGAATGAGTTGAAAAATTGTAAAAACATTTGTTCCTTTAAATACAAATTAAATGAGATATATAAGGGCTTACGAATATGAGATGGTTCAATGTATAAACAACTGTACGTTCAGTGTGCGCTAATTCACAGGGGGATTCGCTCCCTGGACCACGATGGATCGTGAGTACGACCCCGGGCCCGTGACGTACGAATCCTTTCCCTTATCAGATATCTGGAGGATAGCTATTATAGTAGAGCAGTGATCTATCTAGATAGTGAAGATCTATTCAATGCTTAGAGACAAGGGTGAATTATAGGCATGAATTATTAATTATAAAATTGAGTAGATTTATTCAATCCAAACCAAAGTCAAAATTCAATACAAAACATTGTCTATGATATCTAAAACAATGGTTCAACATAATTAAGCTCTTTCTAGTTCAGATTCAAGGTCTACTATCTCTTTATCTAGCATCTCCATCTCCTTCTGGTGTTCTTGCTCTTTGTCACTAAGGTGTTGGCGGAGTGACTTCAATTGCTCTTTGAAATTGCGTGATACAAATCGAGCATTCTCCCTTTTGCCAGCGGTCAAGATTATTTCTCCTGTAATTGCTACAAGACGTTTGTTCTTCTGTTCTATCTCAGACTTTTTCTTCAGCATTATAAAATCCATCAGCTCCAATACGGCACCCAAGGCAGAATTTTGACCTTGAAGAACGTCACGTCTCATTACGTTCTCTGTGTGTCTTTTATTTCTGGTTTCGATCCGTTCTTTAGCATTGGTGGTGAGATCAACATCTTGCTGTTTTGCAACAGCTCGCAGCGCTTCCAAGCCCTCCTCGGTGCCTTCTAAAGAATGGACGTTGGGATGATAGCACAGGGCTGACATCCACGGCCACTGGGCTCTGGCAAATACACGAAAAGAGTTGGAAGTCTCTACAACAGGGCGCTGTCGGAGGTTCTCTTCGAACATCTCTATGGTGTAAGTGGTCTTTGATTTCAACGTGTTTAGGAAGGGTTCGTTTGACCTTCGATTAAACAGAAACATATTTTTACTACCAACAGTTTCATTAAATTTTATTGAATACGGTAAAACATTAAATAACAGAATAAAGTGTTTATAACTTTCAAAGTATTTCTATTTAAATTTGCAATTTGTCAACCATAGTCAGACCTCAAAGATCAATATGTGGTTAAATATTAGCGAGCAAATAACTGTCTAACAAAATAATTAATAATATATCCAGTTTTTTTGTATATAATTCGAGAGCACTTACATGAGTACTTTCATCTGGTTTTTGTAAAGGAAATGTTTAATTAGCAATGCAGACGTGAACATAATACAGACAATAGTTAGGTTGAAGTAGTTTCAAGTGTCGAAGTGTTTACATGAAATAAAAACATCGACAATGGAATGATTATTTCCATACCGACAGTCACCATGGTAGCGTTAGCCAATAAGAACCGGCCGAACAGTGAAAAGAACCGAGCGTGCGTGCGTGCGTAAATTTGAACGCTACATCATCAGGCGCGCCCCCTCGAATGTTCTTAGTACTCGACTGGGTCACCGACTCTCTTAAAAGAGAACTAGCAAAATGATTTTTGTTTGTTTGTTCTAGAGTGGATTTTTGATATGCCATTAATAATAGAATCAACCTTAAACTCGTTCTTTTGCTATTTTTTATGAAGTTATAGGCGATTATATACGATTTTACCATGACGTCACTGGCGAAAAAGTAACAAAATATCGTGTAAATAGCGCCGCGTAGGGTATCCACCGTGTAGGGTATACGCCGCGTACGATCTTTGCGTGCATGCTGTAACAATCACAATTTACAGCCATGGAAACTTTTTTCCATCTTATCTCTGAAAAGATTGTAACCTTTTCGTCTGCAGTTGGCTCAACATGAATTACACAGGAGCCAGTGAGCTTCCATGACGGCCTAGGCTCGGACATGACACGTTGTTGTTTGTTGTTATTTCGTGACGTCATCAACGAGTACAATACATTCATTATCCACCATCAACTAAACTGCCTTAAAGGAAAAAAAATTGGTTCGTGTGGGAATCGAACACACAACCTCCATGTTTGCTATTCATTATCCACCATCAACTAAACTGAAAAGAAAAGAACCCCAAAAAACTTGCCCCGTGTGGGAACCGAACCCACGATCGCCGAGTTTACTACCCCTGATGCAGCATGACTAAACAGAGGGAGGTAAACCGCGGCCTCTAAGCCATAAATGCGATAAACCTAGTACCACACCAAGTACCAGTTAGTCAACTCTATTCCTACTAGAAAAAATTCTTTGTATATATACACTGCAGGTTAATATTACGCATGGTCATGGTGTCAAAAATGGGCCGTGGGCCAAGAGGGTTTATTTTTTTGTCTAAAAATGTAGAATTAAATTTATAATCGATTTTTGATTTTTACCATCTCTATAACTTACGCACTTTTTTTTAAATAGACAAAAATGTTTTAAAAATTCATTATGCAAATTAGAAAAAAATTAGACTAATCATGTTACGGGAAACCTGGTGGTTGTGTGTTCAATTCCCCACACAAACCAATTTTATTTTTATTTATTTTTTTTTTTAAGGCAGTTTAGTTGATGGTGGATAATGAATAGCAAACCTGGAGGTTGTGTGTTCGATTCTCACACAAACCAATTTTTTTTTTTAAGGCAGTTTAGTTGATGGTGGATAATGAATAGCAAAACCTGGTGGTTGTGTGTTCGATTCCCACACGAACCAATTTTTTTTTTTTTTTTCTGGGTCGAATTGCTATAAAACGGTCTTAACTGGTAGTCTTAACTCCTTGAATAAAGCCGGCTTTATCACTTAGACGGTCTTAAAACAGTCTTCCCTAAGACCGCTTTGAGTATTAAAATGCAAACAAGCACTCCCTGGTAACGTAAGATACAGGGCGCACGCAAATGTATTAAAATGAACGAAAATAAACGCTGTAGACCTATTTTTACAGACGCTGAGAAGTGTGCGGAGTATTCGTCGTTCGATTCTCCGACTTTGACGATCTAGGCCTAACTCTTGCCATTGCACTGTTGAATTAATCAGCAGAACGCCATGATGAAAATGATTTAAGACCATTTTAAGCCTCCTCCTCCTAGGCTTTAAAATTTAAGACGGCTAACTGGTTAGACTGCGGTATAGCAATGCTCTATAATCATAGACCAGTAGTGACGTCACGATTATAGCCGGCTAACCGTTATAACCGTCTAAAGACAGCTTATAGCAATCCGCCCCAGAGCTTCCAGACCTCTGAAAATGGCATTATGCTTCGCATTTTTGCGGGCATAATGCCTAGACAGTATTGTTCATTCATATTGAAATTAGTGTTTTGATGGTGATTTTTTTTTTCATCAAATGGGAATTCATATTCTGGTTTAATTTAATTAATTTGTTTATGTTAAAGATCAAGTTTAATTTTTATACTTATGTTCTAATTGTATGTACTGAGGGTCCCAATTGATCAGCTCAGGCTGGATGGACCACCCTCACAAAATATTGTTTAAATAAATAAATATATTTTATATAAGAAGAATCTATGAATATCCAGCTTTCCGTTTACTGGGGAATGAACAACAAGATATTTGATTGGTGAACAGCCGAAATGGCAATTTAAAGCCAACGAAGTCGCTAGAGATATTTTTTTTTACGGCCAGGGCCTTCAGACCTTTGACAATGGTGGCGGAAAGCTATACCAAAGCTTCGCATTTTTGCAGGCATAATGCCTAGTCATTCATATTGAAATTAGTGTTTTGATGGTGATTTTTTTCATCCAATTGCAATTTATATATTTTATATGAGAAGAATCTATGAATATTCAGCTTTCTGTTTACTGGGGGAATGAACAACAAGATATTTGATTGGTGAACAGCCGAAATGGCAATTTAAACGAAGTCACTAGAAAGAGGTCAAAATGCAGCCTCTACGCGCGGTGGGCGGTCAGCATACCACCAATAGAAAAGTGAAAAATGACGGTGACCTTTTTCAAGCTAAGAATTGAAACAAATACTAAAGCAATCAGAAAAGAATTGCCTTCCAAATGCAGAATGGAATACAAAAATTCGACAAGTATTTGCCAGATATGACTGTGGAAAGACAAAAAATGACCTAAAAACAGCTAATGTCAGCGTGAAACACTTTTGTTAGGCTATTCTCGCTCTTGAACGTTAATGTTGCAAGAAGAACCATTTCGTATTTTTTGGAGCTTTTTTGATTTGTCAACATGTATGGCGGATACTTTTACGTTATTTTGTCAGGTCGAGGTGATTTCACTTTATTTGACAATAGACTGATATTATTTCCACTCACAATAGTGTAGTCGCAATATTACTAATACAAAAATCAAAGTTAAAAAGGTGAGAAAAGCAAAAATCTCTTGATTGATTTTAAAAGTCGTGTACTTGCAAAAAGACTAAATTAATCATTGTTTTAAGTTTGAATATCGTGTTGTTAATAATAATAATAATAATAATAATAATAATAATAATAATAATAATAGGTCTTATATTAATATAATAATATATGCCTATTAATAATAATAATAATAATAATAATAACAATAATAATAATAATAATATAGGCCTTATAATAATATAATATGCCTATTAATAATAATATTAATAATAATTATTATTATTATTATAATAACTAGAGATACTATGTTCAATAGAACATGAACCCAGTCATTTTTAAAGAGATAACCACTGTGACCTTTAACCTCAACCTGTGAACACCCCATGTTCTAATGCAACTGGTCCAATCGTTCGTCACTAGCAATATTTGATAATTTTCACTATAGTGACCCTTGTGAATTTTTACCTATAGATGAAGAGTAGTTTTTCATATTTAGAAGGCCCTAATGATCATTCCTGGTAAATTCAAGCTCAGTTGGGCTATTTTGAAAATTTGACCCGATGACCACTATGTAACCACTGATGACAGACAGGGGTGTAGAAGGTGTCACTGGTTCTTAATGATCAACTTTGATTGTTGGTTTATTCGTTTGCCGTTAGTAACATTTTGAACCTATGAACTTTGACATAGGGGGTGAAGAGTATTTTTTCGTGTTTAGAAGGTCCTAATGATCATTCCTGGTTAATTTGAGCTCAATTGGGCTATTTTGAAAATTTAACCCCGATGACCCCTATGTGACCCCTGATCCCAGACTGGGTTGTTGGAGGTGTCACCGGTTCTTAATGATCAAATTTGATTGAATTTATTCCAATGGTTTGCCATTAGTAGCATTTTTAAATGTTACTATAGAGAACAAAAGAATAACCCTTTAACGACCTTTGACCGTAAATCGCTGAACACCATAACGACCCTACCTTATGCCAATACATATGTGCCCAGGACAAGACTGTGCTATGTTATTTGTGACTGAAGAAGTCTTTTATTCATATTTTTGAAAGTTTTTTACCCTAATGACCCCTATGTGACCTTCGACCCCAAGCAGTGAACACCCCCATGTATGAGAGGTGTCACCGATTATACTGACCAGGTTTGGTTGAAATCGGTACAACCGTTTGGCACTAGTAGCGTTTTGAAATGTTGCCAGAAAAAAGATGAAAATTACCCCTTAATGACCTTTGACCCCTTATCCCTGAACACCCTATAGACTCTGCCTTATGCCAATGTATATGTGCAAAGGACAAGACTGTGCTACGTTATTTGTGAGACAAGTAGTTTTTTATACGATTTTTGGTTTTTTGACCCTAATGCCCCTTATGTGACCTTTGACCACAAGTTGTGAACAACTCATAAATGGGAGGTGGCACCGGTCCTACTGACCAAGTTTTAATTAAATCGGTCCAGTAGTTTGCCACTAGTAGCCTTTTAAAATGTTGACAGAAAGAAAGAAAGAAAGAAGAAACTGCTAAGAAACAGAACCCAGTCAGCTGCTGCTGACTGGGTAACTTGAGATACTATGTTCAATAGAACATGAACCCAGTCATTTTTTAAGAGATAACCACTGTGACCTTTAATCTCAACCTGTGAA